AAAGACAACTAGAAGAGATGTCACATAGAAGAGATCTGAGCCTGATCCAGAATGCAGTCCGGGCACCATACTTGGATTTCAGCAGACTTTCAGTCACATTGCATTACAGCCCAGTAGCTCTCCCTGTGGGCTGAAGTGCTTGTGGCGGCTTGCCCTGGTTACACCCTCCCCCCGCAGCATGGCAGAACAGAGGTGGCCTTCAGCAACCCTCGTCCACACTTAAGCAGTCCGCACTGCACCACACCGAACAGTGACTTCGACAGCAACGAAGCCACATAAATCCAAGTGCTTCTTCTAACTGGATGATGAATTTTCTGCCTCCAGAAGATTATTTTGTTTCTCTGCATTCAAAGTTAGCTTACCCTTTACACAGCTGCTCAGTTTAATTATCGACCCATTTAACAGCAGTACCATGTTATGCTACATATTTCATCATATCTCACTTCAAAATAATGGATTATATATCTACATTTATAAAATACCGTTCACAGTTTGTTACTGTGGTTAACCTCCCCTTGCCCACCAAGAGTTTAGTCTTCGGAGTGCTTATGGATAATAGTAGCTCAAAGTGACTTTCCTGCCAGTGGAGAGGAATTGCTTGCCAACATGGCTTATTAGAATAACCCACATGAAGGTGCTTTTCCTTTTGAGTATTACAAAGGTGCAGTTCAACTGGCCCACCTTTCAGTGCATTCCATCACCCTGAACTGTGACTGCCCTTCCCTTTGGAAGGTTAGCCTCTCCCATGGGCTAAATGCAGAAAGCTTCATGTGTCACCCTGATCTCCCTTCTCTCTCTCTCTCTCTCTCACTCTCTCTCTCTCGTTCTCTCTCTTATTTACCTTATGCTCCACTCATATCCTGAGACTTCATGCCCATGAAATCTAGTGTCTGACGCAAGGTACAGACTTCTAAGAATCTAGAGTGGTTCTGTTTTAAAGGAAAAGCAAGTTTATCATTCACATGCTGGAAATTCAAAGCCAGGCAACTTGGGTCTGCGGAAGGCAGTTGCCTCCCCGGTGCAAAGCTCCTGAATTATGTATGACTACCTGTTCCAATCTCAAGGTCTTCGCTTGTGTTCAGACAAAATCTCCCTGCTGGCCCCTACTGCCTAGCACTGCTCAGCACAGCCACTTCTGGACGGAAACAATAACCACAACCCTTCATAACTGCTTTAGCATCATACAGGCAAGCTGTACAAAAAAGCAGACTTGCATAAATATTATTGATCTTCTCAATAAATACCAAGTGCCAACTTCCAGTTCTCTTGGTAACTTTGGTGTAAAGTAAGCACCATCTTTGCTATTAATTTCCTGTACCTAAGGAAAGTTGTCTTTAGGAATACAATTCTGGCAAGAACTCATCTCTATCTAATATAAACTAAACTGACGCAAATGTCCTGTCCAGTGACCATTAAAATGAATGGTCTACTCTCTGTAAAATTTCAATGGCTTTGCATCAAGTCCTGTGTGATTAAAACCAATGACATGCATAAGCATATTTTCTGAGAAGGGTGGCTCTGTGCATGGACAACGCTGACAACAGTCTTGGCCACTTGCTGTGTGCTGCCGCAACACAAATCAATAATAATTAGCGCTAACCATGTAAGCAATCTGTACCTGGAGACATGAAATGGAATTGTTTGTGCTGCAGAAACAAGGGTATCGAAATCTATCCCCCAAGCTTCCTTTTTAGCACAAACACTGCAGCAGGCTGAAGGAAGGAAAAGAAACACCCTTGCTTGGACATTTCTGGAGTGCTGACTCTTGTCGTGGAACATTTTCAGTTTACATTTTTTCCTTATTTTAAATAACAGATACTTAAACTTTTCTGAGCACCACTGTAAAGCATTACCATGTAAAGAAATAGCTGCCCAATACTAGATGGTAATTCCAAAGCTGTTAGTTTTTAATCTGCACTTCTGTTCTCCAAGAGCTTGGCACCTGAATGCTGAAGCCATCTCTGAGCAAGGGCAAACAAATACCATTCATACAAGCTGCACAGAGATACTCTTTGGATATAGCCATGCTTACAGCTGAAGTGTGCCATGCCCACTGGATTTCCTCTTTCCAAGGAATGTTGAAAAAATGGAGATCTGTGAAGGGGCCCTGGATCACGACATTTGCAGGAGCCTGCAATCCCGCCATTTGGAGAGCACCACAGCAGTTAAACTGGTATAAAACCACTTTAACAGGTGCAAATAGACCCTGTATGAGAGCAATGAATATGGCTTAGGTTATTCTTGGTCTGAATATTTGTGCTGCTAGCTAAAGCTTTATGGTTCAGAAGTCTGGAGAGCTGGGAGAATTATATCACTGCAACCTGCTCTATGATGCCTCTGCTTATTCTCAGATATTGTGTGGCCAACACTGCTACAACAGTACTGACAATTGCCATTAAATACTGATTGTTAAATACCAACAGTTCCTAGCAATATTATGACACCTGCTAAAATTAATGCCTTTTGTGAAAACATAGCGATTTGTTGTAAGAATTATTCTTCCATTACTATGAATGTCTTATTCAAAGCAATGCAAAAAGGGAGTTTAAGTGAAGAGTATCATAGCAGGCATATTTTTAAAGCAGAATGGAACATGGAAGCCATAAAACTTACTTTACAAGATGCCAGTTATTGCAAGCCAGTAGATTAGGTTACAATGCAGATAGATATGCAGAGATGGTATGGCACCTCATGCATCTCAGGACACTTTTTCAGCCCTGCTCCTTCCATGCAACAGAGCTGGTAAACCTGTAATCTCCACCTGATGGATGGATTGCAACTCCTGTGCTCCTTGGCTCTTGGTTGTGGTGACTGAGGCTGATGGAAGTGGGCCACCGGGAGGATCACAGTTTCCATCCTCTGCTCTTAGAACGTATTTCCTTTTGGATGCCATGACCATTCACACAAAGCACAGCAGCCTCCCCACATAGTTCCACAAAGTTTCCACTGCTTTAGTAGTGAGAAGAGTCTTACATGTCAATATAATTGAGCTGCCCAGGATAAACAGATGTGTATACATTAAATGCACAACAAAAATTACAACTAAAGATAAGCTTAAGCCAAGAAGAGAATTTTATCCTGGATGATCTGCCTGAGCACATAGAAAGTTGGGTGGAGAGTTTGGAACTTCTGTCAATTTTAATCAAGAATCTAGCAACTCAGAAAAGTATCTTGATATAACCCTGCTGTTGAAACCAAGCAGCACTTTCAGCTTCTGTAAAGAGCAGTCATTTTCCAGCTTTCATGGTTTTGGAGCGCAGCTTGATCGTCTAACTTGCAGTGTTTCTTGTGGGCTCAGAGCCCAGATAAAAAGTGACAAGAAATTCACACGTATTGCTGTTCTGTAAAGAGTAATGCGAGGCAATGTTGTAATAATATAGACCCCGAGAAGCTCTCTCCCTTGGCACCTGTGCTGCTCCAGACAGAATATTTCTCACTGTACCTGGAGTTTGGATCCCTTCACTTCAATGTGTGACTGCCATGTGTTCTGGCTGGTTTGCGGTGTCCCTACTGGAAGCAAATGTCAATTATTTTCCTACTTTGTCAGTTCTGAAAGATTTCTCAGTGACATTAACTATGGAAAGACTGTGGAAAGGCATTGCCTGTCTTCCATAACTTTTGCATGAGTTGAGCAATGCTGGTACCTGTGACTTCCACCACTGTGGAGAGTGCTTCCTTTAATCTAAAAGGTGCAGAGCAGCTGGCAATGCTAATGACAGGCCATCTTGACACAAGCAGAAGGACTTGCAGCCCGGGGACATCATTCTCACAGCGGAGCAGCAACTGCTGAGGAGACAATGCTAGAAGCTTTATTTGCTTTTCTGTCTTCCTGGCAGCACGAATCCAGTGAAACCAGTGCCTTTTTTTGCCTTTCAAGAGAGACATGCTGGTTATTAAAGAAGAACATTTTTAAAGGGTGAGATCAGGAGTAAATTGCATGGAGAAGTCATATTTCCCTGCTGGCATAGATTCAATTTCATCATAACTTATGACTTTGCAAAGTTGGTTTGCCGGTGCTCTCCTTACCAAAGGGATAAAGCAGGCTGGGTGCAGTGGTCAGGGTATACCAAAAGCTGTCTACCCACACCAATTAGATGGATGTTTCTCAGTTGATTCCAGTGCAGATGAAGGCTCCACTTCCAAGCACTTAGAAATTACATTCCCATTCACTATGCCAGGCATCTATTAACATTTCTCTTGCTGAGGTGATGGTGGGGGTGAATGAATTCTCCTCCTTCACTCAGGTAGCACTAATATCAGGTATACTTTTTGCAAAAGAAGCAAGTCCAACAGCATTACTGGAGATAGGAGTAGGAGTTCCCCCATGTGCTCTCTCTTGTGAAATACTCTAGTTATCTGTCCAGAGACTTCCGGCAAACTCTTCTCCATTGGAGACACAGAAGAGCCAACAAAGCTTTCTGTTGCTGTTCTTTGGGATGCATATGTAGCAGTAGGATCTCTACTGCCACCTGCTTTCCTCCGCCTCCCTCTCCTTCTCCTCCCTTTTATGTCTTGCAAGGAATCAAAATCAGCTCATATGGTCCTCCTCCTCTCCAGTTTATCCTCACAAGAACTTCAGGAGGTAGATTAGGCTGAGTCAGCGAGTGGCCTGAAGTCACCCATGAGCTGCACAGCTGAGCTGCAACTTGAACCTGGATCTCCAGAATCCCAGTCCAGCACTCCAAACCCTATACTGAACTGGTTTGCATAGTGGGCCCATACTGGCTGCACAAAGGGTGAGATATGTTTTCTTAGGCCAAGAAACATCAGTAGCATTAAACAATTCTTTCTCTCTCTCTCATTCTCTGGCAGATTGTTTTGGCATATATTACATGGAAGGGAAAAGGGTTTCGGTCCTGCCATCATTTAGGACAGGGAGAGGCAATGTGATGTCTGCAGTCCCCAATTTGGCCTGGCCACCTTTCATGGTGCTCTCCAAGGTGCTGCACTCCTCCCAGATTTTTTTTTAAATTAAAACATTTTCTCACCTGTTGGTGATGAACTATTACTTCAAAGGACTTATTCCGTGAATTAGGACTCAGAAGTAACCTCTGCCTTGCTGTCAGACTTTTGGGAAGATTACTTGCTCTTTGCGCACATTCCCGAGGCAACCGTTTCGTAGCGGTGCCCAGGACTGCTTCTCCGATTGTCAGATGTGCCTCTGATCCAAAGAGGTTCAGCATTTCCTCGAAGGATACATGAAAGGAGCCCTGTTTGACTGGACCGAGTTCCGTTTGAAGCTCTATCCTGTTTGCAATAGCATTCAGCCAGATACTCTTGGGAAGCCCACAAGCAGGGCTTGAAGGCAAGAGTCCTTCCCAGGGCCCTCTTCCCCAGCTCATGCATCGGACAGAAACTGAATGCGCCTAATTCCCCGTTGAAGCTATTATTCACCACCTCCCATGATGGGAAGGCTAAAGCCTCTGGAATCATTCTGCAGTCAGCACTGCAGTGCTAATCCTCTTCAGACTTTGATCCCTTAGCTTTATGCACTAACTGGATTTCTGCTATGACAAATGGGAATTATACCAACGTGGCAAGAGAATAACCATTATCAAGTCTGTTTTGACCATCAGCCTCGGCCTATCAGAAGTATGATCTATCGCTCAGCTGACTCTGACATCAAGCATGGTTTCACAAACATCCCCTTTCTTTCCCTTCAGTTTGACATGCAAGTTGGATAGCTTGAACAATATTCTTAAGGGAAACTGTATCACCACAAACAGGTTCCATAGCTGTAGGGAATCCATGTTCTATCTGGCAATTACATTCAGATGTTTCAAATTAAACATCTGTTGGAAGGACCCGAGTTTTATATTGCCTTTCTTGATCAAGTACCAGCCCAAATCCTCAGGAAGGAAAGCAGCTCTGTCCCACCACTCAGATCCCTCCCCTGGGCAGCCTGGCACCAGACCTGCAGAAATGGAGCAGTGATCATGAAGGAAGAGCTGCCTTATTGCTTGAGGGTGCATAGGCCTTATTAGCATAAAGGAGTTTGTAGCAGAACCTATGTAAATTTCCAGTTTCCAGTATCACAATGCTTAGGCTGGGGAGAAGTATGGGCATTCACACATAAAACGTTGTGTGGAAAGCTTTATCTGTCCCTCAAGGGCAATGCATTCCATTAGGCACTTGCCAAAGGAGAAAGGTCCTAGACTGCAATGGGAAACTCTAGCCCTCTGAAGGCATTTATCTGTACATAGATAGGGCTAAAACAGGGGAAAGGATGTGGGCATATGCTGAGCCCTGCCTCTGACCTCCCTGCACATCCAAGTGCCATGGAGATCTTTCCACACTGGGTGCAACAACCTGAAGAGGCCTTTCTAAACACCTCCAGATGAATTTGTCTACAAAGCTCACACAGGCAGTAGCAGTGCCTTATCCATGTGCCCACACTGAGTGCGGGACATGCTTGCACACCATGCCCTATCCTCAGTATAGGACTTTGTGTGCGGAGGCAAACCCCTGCACCACCCTTCTTGCAAACAGGTTACCTAACGTTTTAAAAGGTGCCTAAATTCAGCTCCTGAGAAGCAGTGTTAGCACAGCACAAGAAACGGCCTGAACTCTGGACCACGAGGCCCTCTAGAAGAGAGACTGCGCTTGCATGGGGCCCTTCAAGACACGGAGCTTGAGACGCAGAGAGCTGTGTGCCGCCATGCCTGGCACACTTTTCTGAGAACTACAAGTCCCACAACGCCTTACTTCCTGCCAGCATTTCCTTTGCACAGGTGGGAGTAGTCAATAGGATCTAGTCCCAGGAGGGACTAAGAAGCACCACAGCAATTGGGGCATGGTGTTCCCTGGTCAGGGGCAGCCAGTGCTGCGGATTACGGACCTCAGGTCTCATGAGGGCCAAAGGGTTAGGCATCTGGACCACAGCATGCCAAAGGGAAGTGAAGCCACACCCTGGGAACAAGGAATGGTGGCTAAAGAACATTTGTCACACGTGTACTTAATGTACATGCAGGCCATACAGCTCAATCCGGCAAATACATATAAATCAGGCAGTCAGAACCACAGGTGGCTTAAATACTGGGACTTAAAGAAGCCAGAACAGCAGTTCTCAAACTTGGTTTTCACAGAACTTTTGAAAACTACAGGGAGTCTTGCCACAACACTTAATATTTGTCATTCTACAAATCAAAGCGTGTACCAAACTCATATTTTAACAACAACATTTTCTTTAGCACTGACACACTTGTAAAGAAAACAACAACAACGGCATCATGTTATGAAAATCTAATGACCTAGGACAGGCCACTGTGAAAGGCTTCATTAATTGATAAACATGAAGTGAAAAATCAGTCGAGTGCATCAGCACGAAGCTGTGAAAACCAGGGGCCCTAGCGGGGGTTTTGCTAGCCTGCCTGATAATCCAGCCCTGATGAAAATAGCCTCAATCAGCCTCAGAAAAAATAAATCAAGTGCAGGCCCCAGGGCGCATATTCTCAACTCCACAATCTTTATGTCGACTCCCTGAATGGAGCTCCTGGACCCTGGTTTGAGAACACCTGAGCTAGAGGGCATCACACAATTTCTCATTTTTTCTCAACACAGACAAAGCTTTGCCCATTTTCCATTACTGAAGCTATAAAAGTTATTTGAGGGTCAACAAATCACAGTGTCATCGTCATCATCAGGGACTGTGAACATGGGAACTACAGCAGGATGCAGCACAGTGCATCTTCTGCGTTGGCCAGAGGACTGCATCATACCGTGGGTCCCATGCCCCGATTCTTCTCCACCAGCCGTACTTAGAGCATTGCACAGACACATGGCTGGCTCTGCAACATCTGTGTGGGACATGGACTATCCTGCAATGCAATGAGTCCAGCCTTGATTACCACAGCCTTGGGATCCCTCTGCTACCCAAATGGCCATTTTCAGCTCCCTGTTCACACCCCAGATTTGCTCCAGTACCAGAGGCAACCATTTAGCAAGCAGACAAGGTGTGTGGTGAGTGCATCCTTATTTGCAAGTAGAACTGCACTTCCAGAAGTACTCACCCAGGTGAGAATTTGGGTGGGAGATGTGGGGTGATGGCCAGCACTTGCTGGAGGTTGTCCACCCCTCAGCTAAACTACGTTTAAAACTGAGAGAGTTTTCTTTATGCATTCTCTTTCCTAGACATGGATACTTTGTTCTGTGACAGACAGAGGGCAGGGCATCACATAAAAAACCTAATTAATGAATGTTTATCAGTAGACTTCTGCAAATGCCAACCTGCAAAGGATGACCTATGCCTTTATGGCAGGGGCGCCAACACGCTTCTTTAAAATGACCCTTGACTTCCACACTGTTCCCCTACCATCATTCTGCTTGTGGTTTCAATAAATACTAAAGTGCATACACTAAGCTATTCTTGCCCCTCCTACAATTTCATTGCAAACGTTAGGATAGGAGAATGAGGGTGACTTTTCATCTTCTTGTCTTTGTCCCAGCTCACCAGTCCATTTCAAAGCTACAATTAAATGCTAGCTTAAACAAAAATCATGGCAGTCATGGAAGCACCCCACCCCCATGAAAGAAATCTAAGACTTTAAAAAAATCAGCATGTAAAAGCCAAAAGTGAAGAGAACGTGCTGGGAGACTGAAATTATTTACAGGTTTGAATGAGAACATAACAGCCATGCATGCCCCTAATTTCTAAAACATTTAGTGGCTTCCTTGTGCCAGAGCAATAATCCTCCACAGCAGTCTCACAGCAGTCTGTTGGTCAGCCCAAGTCAGTTCTATACACCCCTCCCACCCCTCTTACCCACTTTGTTTGCTCCACTTTCCTTCACGATGCAATGTTAAAGCTAGTTATTCCTTCAACAGTATTCCCATGAGCAGTAGTTGCACTGGACAATGAAATCCCAAAGACTTGATTTCATTTTGTTTTGACATTTCCACAGTCATGTTTTTCACACATATATATTTATATATTATTATAATAATAATTCATTTTACATTTTAAATTATTTTATTTTGCTGGTCACTTCCATATTGCTTCATTCAGATTCCAGAATACAGTTCAGAGTGAGGATGAAAATAAAATAAAATAAAATAAAATAAAATAAAATAAAATAAAATAATAAAATAAAATAAAATAAAATAAAATAAAGTAAAAACATAGCTTAAGTGCAAACTAATTTTCCAGTGATCTGCCATGTGCATTTTACCCGGCCAGTTTCTTCTTTTCACTTTTAAGTCTCCCTCCCAGCCCTGTCTCTTCACCAGCAGGTCACCATGTTGAAACAAAACCTGGGAACAAACAAAGGAAAAACACCAGCCAGTGGCTTTCATAAAAAATGTGGTCATGTTTCTTCCTCCGTCCAGCCCCCAGAGTTGCCCACGGCTTCCCAACATTAGCTGATAAACCAAAAGGAGCTGAAGGGGAGAATTACTACATGTTGTATTCAACGAGTAGAAAACATGAACAGGAGGCTCTGTGCATATAAATCGTGGTTGGTGTCTTGCTGTCAAAAGTGAGAGGTTTTTCTTTCCCTATTATTTTGTGTCTCAAAATCATTTTTGCTTTCAAAATGTTTGTTCTTCTATGGACCTGTAGAAAACCTGTAATGTCATGCACAGAAGCATGAAGTAACAAAGTCTTTGTGCAGTTAGGAAATGGACCCCAGACTGCAGATGGGATGGAAAAAAGGGAGCTAGCAGAAGATGAGAGTTGTAGGGTCTTCAACATTATCCCTTGGATGGCCACAGTGAAGCAGACAGGTATGGCGAGCTGGGTTAGCCATTTTGTTTAGGTGGCAGAATAAAAAGTGTTAAAGAAAGAAGTTGGATTCTCAATCTCAGTTATTGTATCATCACTTATGGTAGAAAAATTGTCCTTCCCTACCCTCCCACCCCAAAATTGCATTGCTTTCTCCAGGAATGCTCCAGCTGCTCTCAGCACTTCCTGCTGATAGATATTGACATGGTGTTACTTTCCCTGCAGCATCCAAGCTGAACCACGACATAGAGAACTAGCTTGACAGCAGCTACACTGCCCCTGGCTTTTGTGAGCATCCACTGGCTTTCTTGTCCTCCAGGTACATCAAAAGTGAGCCAGGCTTTTTCCCGCTTTCCTTCTCTACTTTTCTCTCTTCCCAGATTCCTGGAACAAATTATTTGCATGTATCTTTCCATTTGCAGACACCAAACTGAGGAAGAACTGGCAAGAAAAGGAGAAGGGAAAGGAAGAAAAAGAGAGTGGGGGGAAGAGGGGGGACAAGAGGGAGAAAAGAGAGTGCTGGTACGGGTTCTTGATTTTTTTAGGATTACACCACTGTGTTTCGGTGTCTGTAGGGTGGAGGAGGCAGCATAGTGCCGGGCTTCAGGGCAAACTCTGAGAGGTATTCTGGGTTCTCTGCCACAATGGGCCGGATCCTTCCATTTTGTTTGTAAAAATATTTTGTGCTGTATTCCTGAAGGTAGTCCGGATGTTGCAGGGTGCTTCGTGGAGGCAGGCTGTGATTCCAGTAACCTGGGTTGTCAAATGCTTTCTTGGGTTTCTCTGGCAGTGGAAGCCCATTTTTCTTCAGGTACTCCGAATTCTCGAAGGTGCTGGGAAAGGTGTTGAGGTACAATGGCTCATTCACATACTCGTCCTCTGCTTTGGGCTGCCCATTTTGGCTGTTGTGATACTCCGGGTTGTCCAGCGCTTGAAGATCAGCATTCTTCCGCCGAGACACAAAGGGGTTCTCCTCCACTGGGTTCAGGTGATCTAGAGAGTATAATTAGGAACTGTTAATCAAACTACAAGCCATCTCTGAATGGAAGCTAATTCAAAGCCAACATGTGTCATCTTTTTATGTGGACCACTGTTCAGGTGGGCCATGAAGAAGTGCAAAAGATCTCAAAGTATTGTAGGAAGAAAAAAGCACAAGCCTTGTCCTGATGAGTGCTCAATGTGCTTCGGTGGGCCAAGGCAAGGAGCTCTTAGAAGCTTTCACAAAACAATTGCTCACTCTGGGAATGCAGTTAATTCCTAGCTATCTATCAAGTAGATATTGCTTCATAGGGATCAGCATCTAACATCAGTGAGTACTCAACTAGTGGCTGGAGTGCCTAATGAACTGCATAAGGGACAAGCTGAAGTTGTAGCCAGACAAGATGGAGGTACTGCAGTTTTCATGTCCAGGGACTGGCTAAAAGACCTGGTGCAGGCGGGACTGTGCTTCCTCTGAAACAACAGCTTTGACACAGCTCTGTCCCTGGAGAGGCAAGTGGACTTAGCAGCCATGGCCGCTCCTGGCCACCTACAGTGAGCCATGTCCTGGTAATGGTGTGGGTGGGCTTCTGTACTGCTGTATGTGGAGCTGCTCTTGAAAATGACTGAGATGCTTCACCAGCTGCAGAAACCTGAACTGGCCCAGCGAGGTGATGCCACATGACACCTAATCTGATTGCGCTGTCCAGGCAGCTGGTGCTCATTATCCAGTTCAGGGAGCTGGTGCATATCTTACAATGGGACCCAAACATCAGAAGGAGGGACTTTTCCTATCAGCACTGAGTGAGCCTCTTCCCCAAGCACTTTCAGTACCTTAAGTGCCTTCTCTTCTGTAGATGCTCACCTTTGGGAGAGCCTCCCCATGGAGATATGCCTGGCACCACGATTTCAATACTCCCAGTGCTTTACTTGCCCAGGCAATTTAAGCTGAATTGTTTGTCTCATTGCATCAGTTGTCTTTCAACTGTTTTCCATATTATCTCATTGGTTTTATTGTATTTCGTTTTTATATGACTATAGTCCTATTGATTGTATACTACCATGGCATCTGCATGGAAGAAAGGGGGTTTGCTAATTATTTTAATATCTACCTACCTACCTACCTACCAACTATATAATACAGAGTTGCCCACACCTGACTTTAGATTGATATAAATTGCAGCTTATTTCAGGTCAGGGAAAACCAGCTGCTTGACAGGAACAGGAAAATCCAAAATTAAGACTTTGGTTAATGTCAGTCAGTCTGCATCAATTGTTGCACATTTGTTTCAGGTAAAGCAGTGCATTTCACTGATTATAGATGAGTGTTGCACATTTTATTACTGATAAAATAAAACAGATGCACAACTTGTAAAACTTCTGTGGGATCATGGAAGTCTGAAATAAAAGGTTAATATTTACTTCACCTTCAGCCTGATTTTTTGACACAAGCCCTTCCGAATAATGCTCAGCCAGTTTTACGTGACATATCAGAAGCCTCTGCCTGGCATGCCTGCCTGCGTGTCGCTTTCCATGGGAAGGAGCCCTGTGGCTCTCCACTGGCAGCCAGAGGATGCTAGAAGTTAAGGATATACCTTCACAGAGCTGAGCCAAAACTACTTATAGCATTTTGTGATTGCTAAAAATGTCTCCTCTTTACTTCGCTTTCACTCAGCCTCAGGGAAACAGCAACTATCATAATCTTCATAATCATAACATTATCTGGCAGATTGTGAAGTTGCCATTAGTGCAATTAAAAGAAGCACAGAAAAAGAATAATTTCTCAGATAACATTTAACAAAGGAGAAAGCTAACACACTCTTGAATATCAATATGTTGATTTAAGCAGTGCTGAAAAGATAAAAATGTAGAAGGTATCCAAGTGTTTAGCAAGGAAGTGAAGCTATCCTTGCATAGCATCTCAAAAGATTTCATGTTCGAATGATTACTGAAAGCTTTCTCAGAAGCAAGATCTCTCCTTGGTGAGATATCAGCATGGCATTTCAGGTCTGGACATATGTGCTGACTGATCTTCCAGGTCTCAGCTATTGTATTCTGCAAAGGAGTATGTCTGACACAGACCAAAAGCCCGTGGGCTGCAGAGGGGGAAGTTACAAGGAGGTCAACAGGGCTGTTTGGAGACTCGGTGGGTTTTAAGTAGAATTACTACAGAGGAGGCAAGGGGAAACATGTGCGGATGTTTGCAACAAGAAATGTTCACAAGTTATTCATCTGCTTGAATACAAAAATATAAAATGTGCTTTTGGCCTTTTCTGCACATTTTAAAAAACTTCTTTCTCATATACAGCATCCATAATCTGCCCTTTGGTGGTTTAGGTATGGAACAAGTGACTCTGGGCCACCAAGTGTGGTTAGGCAGAGCAAAAGGGTGGTGGGAGGTCGTAAGGAAGGACAGACCGCAGATTAATCACATTCTTAATGGATTAAGGAAGCTCATCTTGCCCAGCTTAATTATTTATAGTACCAAGTGTTGGAGTTTGACCAGGAAGGCCTGAACCTCTCCATCTCTTTTACAATGTATTTGGTGATTAATTGTTCCCTCCTCTCTGTATAACACATTTAACTTTATTTTTATTACCTCCTACAGTCTTTGCCCTGTAACTTCAAAAATGTTTGAGCAACAGCCTTGCCTTTTGGGTTTCTGTTGCTTTGTTCCCCCAGAGAGGCTATGTGGCCTTAATGAGATGGTCACAAACTGGCGACATACTGGGAAAGGGCAGCATCCCACACAGTCATTGCACCTCTGCTCTTTCCAGTGCTCACAGGGAGGGGACTCCCTGCGCAGGCAGCAGTGCCTTTGGATGCAACCCCAGACATAAACAGGAACACTGCAGAGCTCTTCCTGCAAGCTCTGTCGACTTGTCCCTCTCTAGAAACAAGTATTTCTGCTCTTTGTGGATCCTTCAGGAGTCCCACTAGTGCACAGTCCACACACAGAATACTGTCCTAGGTCTCTCTCCCCTCTTCATTCTCATTCTCACTCTCTGCACATCTGCATGTGGGCTTTGGTCCTACCCAAGTCAAGCAATTGTTTTCACATTCATTTGTAAAATGCATGAGCTGTCTTTCGTCCTCTGTTCCCAGGGAAACCTACTGTGAACATTATAAATCAGTAGATCTAATGCAGGGACACCTCAGATGTTTCCCTTACCCTTTCCTTTCAGCCTACTCAGATTTACAGGGTGTTGCCCTGAGTGCCTTGGAAGAAAGGTGGGATACAAATGTGATAACGAAGAGCCTCTGGAAGCCAGCTGGTATGAGCCACTATTCTTAACAGCAGAACCCTTCAGATGAAACTCCAGTCTTGTTCAGAAGCAGATAAAACACACATGGTCATTATGACACATGCATATGTACCTGTTTTGGACTTTTCTGGCATTGGCGTCATGTACCCATCTTCATCCAGCTCGTTTCTGGGTCCTCGCTCTGGCAGAAAAACTGTTGGGTCAGCGCTGTACCTCTGAGTGACGCTGTCCTCCTGAGGAAGGCTGGATCCTTGTTTCCGTAAAGTGCCATTACAGCAACTGTCATCACAAATCTCAGCAGCACTTTGCATGATGGGGGGTTCTGGGGCCATGCTTGGGATGGCAGCTCGGTATGGCAAAAGGACCCCTTGTTCCGTAGTCAAGCTGCCATCTCTGTAGATAAACTGGTTCTGCAAGAAACACAGAGCCCTGCGTCAGGGAGTGGCACACGTACCGGTAGGCCTAGGTGGCTTTCAGGCGCATAACGTTCCATCCACTCAAGAGAACACATTGTTTTCTAGAGGTTTGTTCTTAGGTCATTGCTTAGAGCAAATTCCACAGGCCCTGCTCGCTTCATCCTGGATATCAAGCAGAGTGGAAGCAGCACTGATACCATTTCATGAAAGAGTTCTGTATTTAACATGATTAAAAATTAAAATGTGCTTATAAAGAACCATCCTTTAGGACTAGACCTTAGGATGGTTTGCTCCAATTCCTGTATTACCACATACATTATTTTCAAACAAAACAGAACAAAACAAAACGAGCAAACACAGGAAGCCCATTTACTTGTTGCCAACATTTCAAAAAGAAAAGGCAAATGAAACATTTCAGGATGAGATTTCTGTCATTGCTTTCATTTAAATAATACAACTTGTTGTACCATTTCAAATAATATCTCACTTTCTCTACTTCTACTCCTATCAGTGCCTGGCTTTGGATGTGATATGGGACTATGCAGAACTTTCCTCAAGAATTCTCCCACCCCTACCAAACTGATTTTGTAGAGTAATCCTGATGTTTTCCCCAAGCTAATACACCTTAGACTTTCACTTCAGAAAAAACTCAGTGGCAACCGTAAGGGCCATTGTAACACTCAGCCAGTCCTAGCTCACTGGAGGGAGTTAGGATGGGGCAGAAACATCTTTGTGCCAGCCCACCTGCAGAAGGGAACTCCACCGGTGGAAATCCACCTTTTGGCCTGCTGGCCCCAGCCCATGTGCAGAAAGCCTCATGAGGGAGAAGCCATCCTGTGGCAGATCTGCTGGATCCAAAGTCCTACACATACCCCCAGCTACTCCAGGCTGAAGATGGAACCCCCCCCCCCCCATGCATACACACACTGGATCTGTTCCTGAAGTGGAACTACACCTTAACCTGACTGAGAATGATTTCTGACTTCCTTGGGAAATATTACAGTTCCTCCATTATGCATTTTACTGTCTAAATACTATTTCTGTATTTTATATGTTTGTTAAAAGGGAGAAATCCAGCACTTAACTATTTATTCATTCATATTGTTACATAATACCATGAGAAAGAGCTTAGCACTGGAATGGCACTGGGACTGATGCTCCTGCTTCTTGGACCAAGAACCTCTGGGTCTCTTCCAGCCTCTGGGCTGTTATCTCTATTGAAGTCTGCCCTGGGACTGCACCAGTCCACAACAGCCCACTTTGTCTCCCACTGTCCCACTTTCTGCTCTGTAAAAGTTTACCATCCATGAGTGTGGGGGCAGGACCCCCCCCCCAATAAACAGTGAGGAGAGATACACTACTAACACAGGAAGCAGAGGTGGCATCACCGACAGGAGGAATGTCAGTGGCAAGGAGGTGGCCCAACTGCACCTCCTGGCTGTTCTGGGCCTGCTTAGCAGTGATGATATGTTAGCACTGGCTCTGTTTAAGGCATACTTTAGCTCTCCTGTGCTTGGCCATGCATTTCTTCTCTACCTTCTTGAGATGACTGTCCCAGCTCTCGAGTCACTGAAGAACCACATAAAATCCAACAGACATAGCTCTAAACTGCATGCTTCCTATGCCAGACACAATTATTTTGTTTGGGGCTATGCCATCTTGTATCTTCCACCGCAGGACAGAAGCAGGTTGTAGAGGAGAATGAATGCAGACTCTTCTCCCACACAGACACATAAAGGTTGGAGAGACACTTGCACCATCCAGATTGGGCCACTGACAACTGAAGACCCTTTCTTTCCACTAGGAACCGACCTTTTTAATAAGGCCAATTTTATCAACATCTGTTATCTGCCAGCTTCTTCTTCCTTTGAGCAAAACTTTTCTTCAACAACAGAGATGGTTCTCACATTTGAAGACAACGGAGCACCTCCTTAAATCAGATAGTTGATGAATGGTTGGAATGGTGACTCACATTGAGGTAGCTCCACCTGAAATGCAAGACTCAAGGCAACACCTCCATCTGTGCAGTGTTTTTTTCCAATGCGATGCTTTCAGATGCACAAGAAATTGTAACCATTTCTAGTTCTCAGGAAAGCTGAGAATGTGACTGAACAATGAATTAACAATGCTGGCCAATAAGGTAAAATGGAAACTTATTCTGAAGCAGCTATCAATGGCAATGTTTGATTTTGCAGAGTTCTGAGTTCAAAATAGGGTTTTTACTGGGACTAGAGAAACATGCTTGTTCACCTATGCTCAGTATCACAGGACATAATGAATTCTGGCACTAGATTTAGGGAATGAGAATTGGCAAGAGGCATGGTGGAATTTATGAAGAAAAACAGAAGAAATAATACATTGGAAAAAGACAAACAAACCCCTAAAATGATGGAGGCTGATTGTGAAATACTTACTCCTGACATAGGGGTGTAGGCAGGAGGAGGGCTGTGTCCAATTTCACTCTGATAGGAAAGAAAGAAATGGAATGATGGATATAGTAAGAGGTCACATGGATGAAAGTACATCATATGAGCTCCATGAACTAATGAAGAAAAGGCACAAACAGATGGGTGGTATTCACTCAAACTCCAGCCAAATCCAGCCCTTTGTGCTCAGGCAAAACTCCCACTGGCAAGGGTGCAGTGGCAGTTATGTGTGAGCTCAAAAGTCTGTGGGGTTTAGCTGTAAAATGATTAAGGCTGAAAGGAAGTGAGAGGGGGTTTTTTCCCTTGCAGGAGAGAGTTATAGACATGCAGAAGCCTGGCTTTTGCCCCCAAGCTACGAATCAAGTGGGATTCCTCTACCAGGAAAGGATTTATTGTCCAGCAATTGTGAAGGGACAAAGAATTCAGATTTGGAAGCACAATCATCCCAGACTGGTCCATTCCTCTTGTCTGACCAATATGTCAGAGGAAAACAGAACTATCCTAAGGTAGGTTTTCCAGTGTTGAAAGTCGGATGTGTTGATAGTCCTGTAATTCAGAAGGAATTCAATAACTTTGATTTTTGATTTTTCTTTCAGTAATGTTAAAATAATGTAACTTTACAAGCAGGTTTTCATTTAGCCCTCCCTCTGAATTGCTCTTAGATAACCGAAACATTAAAGTAGACCACACCGTGTGTGGTTTTTTGGAATGTGCAATTCTTCCCAATGCTATTGCTCATTTTTGGCTTCTCTTCCTCTCTCTCTCTCTCTTGGTAAAGTTCTGTTACTTCTTGGTCTTTCTTATGAGGCAATAGATAGGCCATTAGATGACTGTTGTAAATGTTTGAATATAGAATTCACATAGGAAACATGGGGTAGGTGCTGTTTTTACAAGTAAAGATTTGCAAGTGAAAAGATGCAAGGGTGAGAAAAAGGAATTATGCTGCCCAGATTCAAAATCAGTAAGTCCATATATCGAATCTGGCATATTTGTAATGATCATATATAACAAGCCCTGATTTGACCTTTTAATTTTTTAATTAAATTAAATTAATTTTTTAATATTTTGATAGTTTAGACCAAGTTAATCAAGTATTTTTATGCCTATCCTGGGGCAGGAATTTTAAGAAATTGCAGAAAATTGTTTTCAGGTGCCATATAGGGACCTCTTTTCCCCATATAGCCATAGGAAACAGTGTATAGTGATCATGTAGTGTGATTTCTAGGCCAATTCAATCTCAATTTCAGAAGTGCATGGCAGGAGACATTCCTCCCAGCCTCTTAGGGAGAGGTTTAAGAAGCTAAAGTACAACGTTACATAAAGTACAACGTTATGTAACGTTACATAAAGTACAACGTTATGACCTTTTTATTTAAACGTCACTTTAATTGTTAACGATATTTGCTTATTTATCTGGCCAGGGCGACTTCTTTTATATTTTATATTTTTATTTATTTTATATTGTTAATTTTAATTTTATATTGTTATTTTTGTATTTTATTGTATTTTATTGTGTTTGTAAGCTGCCCCGAGGCTTCGGCAAGGGGCGGCATAGAAATGTTCTAATAATAATAATAATAAAGCAGTGGTTCAAAATTTTGCATTACTCTACATTCAGATCTGCTATTCCTTCAAAATCGCATAAACAGAGAACCTCCATCCATCAAATTCATAACTTGCATAATGATGTGGCCAGCTGATCCATCACCCAGCATTTGCCCTCCTGTGCCCGTGGTTTGCCTCCCAAACGGATCCGCTCATCAAGCAAGCTTTTCTTCAGCCTAGGAAAAGGGTTCTTGGTGAAAGGGGCTGCTGGGACATAGCACTTGTGTGCCCTTTTAAAAACAGGGCCTTGACCCTTCTTTCCATGCAGTTGATGGACTTCCACACTTCTGCATGTGGAACTGCCAACCTCTCATGCAGTTTGGCCTTCAGATCATGGACTGCTTGGCTGTCAAGAGCATGCGACAGTCGTACCCTTCCCTCCTTGGTAATTTATTATTTATTTATTTAAAACATTTCTATGCCACCCCCATCGCAACAAAGCCTCGGGGCGGCTCACAAAGAATATATCCATATGATATGAATAATAATTGCTCTTCACAAGCAGAAACACTGTGAAGATAACCGAGCTAGGCATTGGATGGCAGTCTGCATATCATTACAAATAATGCTGCTAGAAGTATTTTAGAAAGCAGGCAGGGAAAGAAGGTGCTAAGGGATTGTACTTGTGCATGTGTGCATGTGCGGGCAGCTTAAAAGCATCAAGGATGCATCTCAAGATACGTTTTCCAGATAAGCAGCAATTCTCTCTGTGCATCACTCAACAGTTGGCATGGATGCATCAGCGCAATCTGCGCGGGGAACTCAGTGCAGTTGCCTCGGGAGCATCAGTGCCATGAGTCCCTCAGCAAGTCAGCTCTTTGTTAACTGTCCCAGTCAATGAGCAGACAGTGAAGTGACCAGGGCAGTAATTTCTGGCCCGGGTGAAAAGAAGTGATTTTTTACCCTGATGCAATGCCCTTGGCTCCACTGCTTCCCTTTGTACAGGTCTGCTGTGTAATGCCA